TGGGGCTTGTGGCTTGGGGCTTAGGGTTTTCTGGGGCTTAGTTCATGGCTCTAGGTTTGGGGTTTGAGGTTTAGAGTTTTTTAGGGTGTAGGGTCTTTAGGGGTTAGGGGTTTAGGGGTATGTGTCAAGTTAGTAGTTTCAGAAGAACTCATTTTCTCCCGTCAGAATCATGCATGTGTGAAGTTAGTAGCTTTAGGGAAATAGTGACAAAGTGTTGTAGTTAGTACAATTAGTAATTTTGATTAGTGATTTCTGAAGTTGTAGTTGCTACTTATGGTGACAACGTGTGTTGTACCGCTATGGATGATCAAATTGAAAATTCTTCCAGTTCTACTATTTCCCCAAGTTCCACTATTTCCTCAAGTTTCACTCTTACTCATTGCACAAATTTAGGTTGGAAAATTTATTTAATTACTCATAATGTTCTTTCATTTTCTTGGAAAACTGATTAATGTTCTTTGGCTATTCTTGCAAGTATTATAATTTTCAATTTTTCTTTTAGGAACAAGTGACAACAATTGTGAAAGTGATTGTGAAAGCAAGTTTGATCCTCACGCGGTAATCTTAGGCTTGTATATCAATTTTAATTTGGATTTTAGGCTTGTATATAATTTGGTAATACTTATTTCACTAATTTAATTTGTTTTCTTCTTTGCAGGCCTGCATAATGAATGTGGACGAAAATGAAGTTTTTAGACAACTCATGTTTGCTAGAGCTGGACATAAACCTTCATTATCCGACATACTTTCAACTGGGCATAGATATCATACTATCTATACAGTAGATCTGTTGTTGAGCGGAATGCAGACTAGTTCCCTTAAGACATCTATTCAGCTTGTGTTTGGGGGGCCATTATCTGACCACAAAGGCACTTTAAAATTTCAAGACATTGAAAGAATGGAAAATGATACCTTTTTAACCTATTCGGAAGCTTACATTGAAGAAGTTGGATCTACTAAAAGTTTCACAGTGCAAGCAATCGAGGGCAACGAACAATTGAACAAAACCCACAAACGAGAAAGCTGAAAAGGTAATACTTTTTCCTTTCATTCACCGTTAAAAAGAGTATGAAGCATGCTTCTAATATCCAGATAGATATGCAACGACACCAAACACCACAGGGTAAAAACACGTAGGAACCCAAACACTAACCTAAACAAATCTAAATCCCCAGGACCAATCACTAAGAGGAAAAACTATGGAAAAGAAATAAAATTAAATAAAAAAACAGAGAAAATCATCACCTTGGCAAAAGAATAATGAAAGAAGATACACAGCAGCGGATACAACAATAATTTTTCTGGAGAGTTTTATGAACAGCTAAAGCATAACTGAAGTTGTGGTAGGTGAGGCTCGAAAGAGATTGTTAGGCAAATAATAAAATTCAGAGAATTAAAAGAAGGATCTGGAAGCGAGGACAACACGTCACAGCCCTCGTATATATTGATATTTGTTGACGATTAATAGTACAACGAAAGGAAATTATCGCAGAAACAGCAAAGCCACATGATCATATTTGACACGCAACCAAAATAATTAAATTTAAATTTATTAAACAGAAACAACTATTATGAAATTGTATTGTAAAAGTTGGAGATTTGAGAGTGAAAACCTACCAAATTCAACGAGGAACCCTTCTCAATTTCATCATCCATGCGGGTTTGGTTTTGTGTGCAGCAGTAAAGGATGCAATGTTCAATTTGGCCATGTGCGACAAAATCCTCCTCTTCACCATAAATCGTAAAATCCTCCTCTTCACCATAAACCGTCCAATCCCAACTGCGTCTTACCTCATTTCACCATTTGTTTGTCCAATACTTTTTTGCTTAAAATAAAAATAAAAAATATATTTGATTTTACTCTCTTACTCCTTTTATCTCTCACATATAATTCCTTTAGGGTTAGTTTGCAAATTACAACAATCCCTCTATGGGCTTAAATAGTCACTAAGAGCTAGGTTTGGGAAGTTTAGTCAAATTGTTTAGAATTTTGGGATGAAGTGAAGTGAAGTTAACATTCAGTTATTTGTCACATTTTTCCTAGAAAATATGTTTACCTTGTAGTCTATGTTGATGACATAGTCATCAAAAGAAATGATGCTATTAAAATTTTACAGTTGAAAAAACACTTATTTAGTCATTTTCAAACCAAAGATCTTGGCACCCGTACTTCCTAGGTGTTAAGATAATTCTATAAGATATAGTTTAGATATACTAGTTTATCCTCTCCTAATTTCTAGTTTAGTTTCCTTAGTCAGTTTAGTCTCCTGGTTTAATCCACGTTGGGATTGGACGGTTTATGGTGAAGAGGAGGATTTTACGATTTATGGTGAAGAGGAGGATTTTGTCGCACATGGCCAAATTGAACATTGCATCCTTTACTGCTGCACACAAAACCAAACCCGCATGGATGATGAAATTGAGAAGGGTTCCTCGTTGAATTTGGTAGGTTTTCACTCTCAAATCTCCAACTTTTACAATACAATTTCATAATAGTTGTTTCTGTTTAATAAATTTAAATTTAATTATTTTGGTTGCGTGTCAAATATGATCATGTGGCTTTGCTGTTTCTGCGATAATTTCCTTTCGTTGTACTATTAATCGTCAACAAATATCAATATATACGAGGGCTGTGACGTGTTGTCCTCGCTTCCAGATCCTTCTTTTAATTCTCTGAATTTTATTATTTGCCTAACAATCTCTTTCGAGCCTCACCTACCACAACTTCAGTTATGCTTTAGCTGTTCATAAAACTCTCCAGAAAAATTATTGTTGTATCCGCTGCTGTGTATCTTCTTTCATTATTCTTTTGCCAAGGTGATGATTTTCTCTGTTTTTTTATTTAATTTTATTTCTTTTCCATAGTTTTTCCTCTTAGTCCGTATTGAAGTTCAGAAACTTCAATACGGCCGTATTGAGTTCAGTGCGGCCGTATTGAAGTTCAAAATGTTCAATACGGCCGTACTGAACCTCTGGGAGGCCGTATTGGGCTTCATTCCTCCCACTTTTCTTATTTTAGCTATCCTAAGACCTCTAGACCTATAGAGAACCCTCCTTGGGCCTTCTGGAAGTCCTTCTGGCTGATCTTCCTTCAGTCTTCGAGAGTCTTCAAGCTTTATTTCCGACCCGGACAATTTTAGGGGTCTACAG